ACATTACTCAAGACAATGCACTGAACCGAGGCCAACAAGCTTTGAAGCACATATATATCTATTTATTTTTTGGCAAACGCTTTTTCTTTGAGACATCAGTAGCATTTTTCCGGTTCTGCATGGTTCTTGATCGCAACTATCTCGATAAACTATGGAAAGCAGCGCAGCTAGGGAGTTTGAAAATGTGCCTTGCGAAATTTTCAGTGCAGCAGCTCCTGCTACAACAATAATGAAATTCAAAAGTCCAGGTACGAAAATGTTCATGATTTGTTCATGAAATTGATGGATATATGAAGGAATGCAGAACTATTACAGAGGATGTAATTTTGGCCTCATTCGCGCAAAAATTTGAAATTGTCAAATCCTCTACCCTGTGAAGCATATGTACTCTTTTGTTATCGCTTGGAGCGCATGAAAGGGAATCCCTATAATGTTCGAGGAGCATCGTGCGCACCAAGAGAAGATAGGGAGCGGAGGTGGTTATATATTCGATTTTTTTCAACTTTTGGGGATTATGAGGTCTTGGAAATACTTCCTTATATAGGCAATGAATTCCAGAATAAGCAAAGATAAGAAGCAAAATGTCCATATCCACTTTCCCCATTGATTTTTAACGGTTCTACACGTTTGTCGAAAAAATTGTCGAAACAATACTGTATATACACAACACGTCCAGAATAGTTATTTATTATACAAGGGAAAAAAGTAGTAGATTTTAGCTCCAGGTTGTATTTTTTTTTTCACAATTGCATACCTCGTTAGTCCCAGCACTGGGACCAAACGCCCCATAAGTCGAAATTTGTGCGGGGTTAGGTATACATACAAACACAAACATCCATGGCCTAACTAGGATTCGAACCTAGGTCTCGCGCGGTGGGAGTCTCCGTACGAACTCAGCGCCTTAACGCTCTCGACCACCGAGCCGCCTGTGTTGTGTGTTGACAAAAAACCGTGAGCTAAAATCTAATATTGTTCCCGTGTATAATAAACTATTTTTTTCTGTGACAGAAGAAAAGACGAATCAATATTGAGAAGATTACATTATTTTGAAATCTGAAAATTATCGACGTGAAATTTTAAGCTTTTAACAGTAGGGACACCTGCGTTGTAGGCATCTTTATCATTCTTTTGAAGTAATCAAATATCTGATGTCACTTCTGTCATTCTAATTCTGTGATTTGATTTCAAAAAATTGAGAATTTAGTGATTGTTTAGTAATATACGTAACCGCGAAGTCGAATGGAAGATAAAAGGACTTGCAGTTCTTTCTCGGAGACGGTATTATTGACTCATATTTCGGAACTATAGCACAACAAGAGCCATCAACAGTGTATATTTATATGTGATATACCTATATCCGGGAAAAAAGTACTCACTTTTTTCCCACGGGAAAAAAGTAATTTATGAAAAGTGACATTTTATAACCTGCCAACATAGATGAAATGCCAAACTTTTTTCCCGTCACAGAAAAATAGTACTTTATGTACGAAGTCCGGAAAATACTGTTTTTTTGAACGAGTAGACAAAATTCTAGGCCGAGCCGAAGTCTGCGAAACAAAAAAAAAAACGGTTTCTGGACGTGTTGCGTTCACTATTTTTTCGACAACCATGTAGAATAATAATAATAATAATTATAATAATAAATGCTTTTATTGTCTCAATGAAACAAAAGGTAGAGTTCAACTCGCCGATAAATCGACAGCTGCTCTTTCACTCGACCATTCCAATAACCCGAACAAATCAATGAGGCACATTTCCATATTGTATTCCTTTGTAGAATACAATTTCTTCTTTATTGATTCTCATTTGTATCAAATACTGAAATTTGAACGGAACATACCTATACCTACTAACTGTTACATTGGAAATTTCGTATGGACATTTTCAAACTCACTATCGCAGCTTCTTTCGATAGTTTATTGCGATAATTGCAACCAAACTTTCAAAAATCCAAATGTCAACTAATTTCATGTCAAATAGCTGTCAGCCGATATTCCGCTGCTATGGTAATTATCATCTGCATTTATCAAAACCATATTTACCAAGATTTTCATAGTTGCAGAATATACGTATTAATAATCAATACGGAAAATCTCTATCTGTTTCCATAGCGAAACATGAAGCCGATTTTTGAAGACAAATGACTATCCATAAGGAAAAGTTTTGGAACGATCAGACACATACTGCTTTGATTGAAAGGCTAGTAAACGTCATTGTCCACCGAAACGCATGTCTTTGATGACTACTATAATAGCGCATGGCGCATGGCGTATCATGCCACCAAATCCTTATGGATATTCATTTGTTTCATATTTTTGGCTTCATCCTGGCACCCGTTATGATCCGTATTGTTTATTAATACGTATATGAGTTGCAGTGACAACAACGATGTGATACTTCCCGGACTTGCTCAGCACGCCAACGTCAATGCTTTGTAGTTTTGAGGACCAATAGAAACTGTCAATATTTGGTAAACAATCATTCCCGATAGCCCGTTTTACGCGAGTAGGATGCTAAAGCAACTGACTAAAATACTAGATTAGCATATGTTGAGGTCTGTAAGACAGTAGGCATTCTTGAGGAATTCCAAAGAAAACCTTCAATTATTGATTGAAACAAGAGTGCGACTTAGTGTCCCAAATCATGGATCTTCGAGTTCTTAGCAAGGACGTGCATTTTGTGCTAGTTTCCATTTGACCCAAGTGACCGTGTGTGAACACATCCCTCGAAGGTTACCGAAAATCCTCACTTTCAGCACTTTCAATAGAATCCCTGCCGCTCTGGCATCGCCAGTGTAGCGAAACAAATGAACGAACAACCTAAGCCAACAACAATAGACACTTGTGCTGTCGGTGCTCCCATCACTTTGCACTTCTTGACCCTTCAACCTGGCGCATTCTCCCCATAGCGAACGGTTCGAGTTTATGAAATCAGTTACAGCCAAATTGACATTAGAGTATTAATCAAGTGTGCTTGATTATCATCTGAATGGGATCGGCTGTAAGGCCCCATATGTCAATTTCGATCCGACCCCTCGTGTTTACAGATGTGCCCTGTGATTGTGCGCCTGCTCTCTGTCGGAATTGATAACAATTAGTATTTTGACGGGTGATATTACTGGAGAGGACGCTTAAAAAAGGCCACTTAGACTGAAAATAGTGTAAGTGAATCATAATAACTTGTAGGTATAATGATAATGTTCATAGCTAGTCCATAAAATGCCACTATTGAACAGTTTATTGTAGTGATTGTAGTATATTTACTTTGTTGGTTTACATATATACACCAACTGGCAACTGGCCATCGATTCCACAAGAGATCCTTCAGTCAATGTGTGTTCCGTGCAGGCTTTGATACTGACTCCCAACGCAGTCCCAGGAGCTGCACTGTTAATTGGAACGCAACAGTGAGTCGTACGGATTCATTTTTGGCCGAGGCTACGAAAATCAGAATTTATAACTCGTTTTGTGAATAAAAATCCTCTGTTCTGCTAGGGATTCGATCTATAGTGACCTTTCGATGTTCTGGTTACTATAGTCGAGCGCTTCACCCACTACGCTATTCTGCCGTCAACAGTTTATAATAACACTGAATAAGATTCTTTCAATTCAATATTTGATTGGGGTACCATAAAGTCATGGCTGGATTCCTCTATGGAGTAGTAGTCGTATGACAAACTACTATCAAGTTTGCTAATGCCATCATAAGAAATAATCTATATGCTATACTCTCGAGATCAACCTGTCATATATGTATCTTACTCACTCTTACTTATGATTCGGTACACCAAGAAACATGACTCGTTGATATATGATATAGAGCGATCTAGATAGAAGTTATGTCAGTTGTTAGCCCTCAATTCGAATTTTTATTTTGTTGCCAACTCTGACATCCTGACAGACATTCAACAAAAATCTTGGATGCTATGTCGTGTAATGTAATGGACATGCGGTTGTTGAAGCTCTTTGTCAAACAAAAGCTCGCTATCACGATTGGATACTCCTTGTCTCCATTGACTCTCCATGGCTGCAATCCTCTTGTTGAAAGTATAAGAAGGAGAGCAGGTCGAACATAGCTTTCAATCGCTGACTTTATTATTGTTAGCCGAGTCAAAAAAAGTTCGTATGAGAAATTTCACCGAGGCATGGGTTCGAGCTCCACTTTGCCACAAGTTTCAACTAATAGGGTTACAATGCTTGTCAAACAAAAGCCTGCTATGAGGATTGAACACTCCTCATCTCTATCCACTCTTCTTGGCAGCAATCCTCTTGTCGAAAGTATCAGAAAGGTAACAGGTCGACCACAGCTTCCCATCGCTGACTTATTGTTAGTTGAGTGAAAATAAAAACGTATTAGATCTTACTAATACATAGATCAGTTGGTATTGGTATGGTAACATGAAAAAATCCATGGAGTCATTCGGCCCGATGATCGAGAGCGCAAATGCGCTGAGTTCGTAAGAGAACTCTCACCGAGGTATGAGTTATCACTATTTACTCTCCTTGTGCTGAGTCAAAATGAGAATGGAACCTGTTTTGCTGATATATCAGTGACATGTACAAAAAATCCCAATTCAAAAACAATCTACGAACAATCCATGTATCTCTCTGTCAAACAAATGCCTGCTGTGAGGATGGAACACTCCTGAGTCGCTTTCCAATTGCCACAACGAGTAGCACCGAGTAACTGCTAGATCTTGAATTGATCACTATACCCGTTCCATCATCATTATTTCGGAGTTATTACTACTTGGAGTTACTCGGTGCTACTCACTGTGGTGATTGGAAAGCAGATCTCGTCTCTATTTAGTCTTCTTGGCTGCAATCCTCTTGTCGTAAGTATTAGAAGAGGAGCAGGTCCAGTGAAGCTTCATCGCTGGCTTGTTGTTAGCTCAAAATTAGAATGAAACCTGTTTTGACGATATATCAGTTAATCAGTTGGTGAAGGTGACATGTATGAAAATAATCCATTGAATCAATCCCACCCTTCACGTCTTGCAGATCTGAGGACTTCCCCGGGCAGCGTCGACTGCTACTCCTCTGAGGGCGCAGATCATCCCTTGGCCCTTTGCATCCCTGCCGCGCAGACCCTCGTGCAGGCGTCGAGAACTCCCCCGCCGCCCTGGAGCCTCCCCACGAAGAAGGGCACGCCGGGCCTCATCTGCGTGGTTTGTGGAGACACCAGCTCAGGCAAGCACTACGGGATCCTGGCCTGCAACGGCTGCTCCGGGTTCTTCAAGAGGTCTGTTAGGAGGAAACTGATTTACAGGTGAGTAGATGAGAACGTGATTGGAATACTTTATTGTTTCAATGTAAATATACACTATGTTTCAAAATTCAGTAACAATATTCCAGGGACTTGTTTTTCATAAGACTTTTTTTTAAACATGTATTCGCAAACGCTTCGTTACCGATCGACAGAACGTTGAAATTTCAAGATATTTTTATCTTTCTGCTCCTTGTATAAACAGTCAAGGTTTGTTATTGGTTTCATATTTTTGAGATGATCTTTGGAAACTTGTAATCCAGATCAGAAACCAAATACATAGCGTTTTTGTGTCCATTATGATAGGTAATAATTCAAGATGGCTTATCCAATATGGCAGACGCATTTTGTAATCCGATTTTATTCAAAATTGGTATCTCGGGATTTTCGGGGTCGGAGATTATGATTTATTCGTCAAAATTAGGAAATTCAGCATGGCAGATCCAATATGTCGGACGATTTTTTTATTTATGGTCCGATTCTATTTCAAAGTTGGTATCTAGGAGTTTTCGGGGTCGGAGATTATGATTTATTTGTCAAAATCAGAAAATTCGGAATGGCCGATCCAATATGGCGAACGAGTTTTTCAATTATGGACCGATTCTATTCAAAATTGGTATCTGGAGGTTTTCGGAGTCGGAGATAATGATTCTTTCATCAAAATTTTGAAATTCAAGCTGGCAGATCCAATATGACGGACGAGTTTTGTAACTATGATCCGATTCCATTGAAAATTTGTACCATGAGGATTTTGGGGTCGAAGATTATGATTCTCTCATCAAAATTAGGAAATTAAAGATGAAGGATCCAATACGGCGGATGAATTTTGTAATTATCATCAGATTCTATTCAAAATTTGTAACTGGGGATTTTCGGGGTCGGAGATTATGATTTTATTCTTCAAAATGGGGAAATTCAAGATGGCGGATCCAATATGGCGAGAGAGCATTGTAATAAATAGTAGTTTGAGAAATTATATTGAAACACGCTTTTATGCATAGCCAAACTCGAGGCCAAACTGAATAGAAGTAGAAAATTGATAGAATAGTTTAAGAAACGGGATAGATTGTCGAACTAATAAGAAACAGAACATAAAAATAGTAGTTTGAATTACTCATTTCGCAATTGTCTTTTCGTCAATTTCGATAAAACGTTGTGGTTTTTTTAATAGTAATATGGAGCTTCTTCTAGTGCAGATTCGAAATAATATTTCCAGTGGTGTCACAGTGGGTAAATTTATCGATATTCATGGTGAATGTCATTGTACATTATCGGAGTTTCATATTCTTATCAGATTGAACTATTGATATAACAACTTTTGTATGCCCCGTGTGACTTCTGAATGTATAGCTTAGTTTTTGAGTAAACAATAAAAATTCGATTTGACTTCGAATTTTAATGTATGTGTTTTCAAGACTTTCATTGAGATCACTCAATAACCCCAATTAGAGTCATTGTGAAATTTTGTGGCTTTCTCAGTCTCCATCCATAGTGAATTCTGGCACCATAAAAGCTTATACAGGGGGGTTATGAATATAAACAATTAATATTTCCAACTTCAACATCCTGAATCTCGAAAACGGAGCTTTGGATACATGTTTATATAACTTTGTTCGCTAGAATGTCACAAGGAAACACCACTTGAATTTTTCCGGTATTTTTTAGATAGGTACACCCTGTATAGCGTTAGTATTCTAATCACTCTGTAGACGTGCCGGTCGTTTGTTCAAATCCAAACGTCAGCATCAGATATATTTCTGATGACCCAAGAATGTATTTGGGATCACACGATAAAAGAGGGTTGCTCGTAAGGAGGCAACCGAATGACATATAGAACAATTTTGGAACAACAGCAATTTAGCCAATGATGAATTTATGCGTTACTTTATGGACGTCCTGTATTACAACCACACAAAAATGTCACCCCTTGTTCCTGTCGGAATGGAAATAAAAATGTCAATCTCTTATAGCATTTTCGAAATATCCCTCCGCATTTAAATAAGATTCCTTATACAACTGCACCCCCTTCTAATGGCCATCATTCAGATGGGAATTTTCCGTACCAGCAATCATAAAGTATTATTAAAGAATCGCAAAAATAAATCCCTTTTCAAAATTCAATTAAAGTTACATCGTTGGGAAGCGACATGAAAACTCTTTTATATCTTGTCGGAGACGCGCTTTTGCTCCTGACGTTTGTGAGCATTTTATAAATCTGCTTTGGAGGCTATACAAATCCAACGTACGGTTTTTGAAAGGAAACTGAAACACGGATGACATGGACATCAATTCGTAAAAATCATAAACCGCTTGATTGAGTTCATGTTCAATTTGGCGTTGAAGTCTGTTGAAATACACTCACCGGCCAGCAAAAAATGTTGTCATATTGATCGCCCTGTAACTTTTTTAATTCCTGTCCAATTCTGAAGAATATTCGTCCAATTCGTAGATCAATGTTTTGGAGTGTTAGCCTGCATTTTAATTCTTGAAAAAAGCTGATGACTTGATTAATATACAGGAAAAAAACAGAATTTACTCTCTAACCTTTATATCGCACTTGAGAACAATAGTGTGACAACTCAAAAAAGTTGATTTCGTAACTTTTTTAATTCCTGTCCAATTCTGAAGGATATTCGTCCAATTCGTAGATCAATGTTTTGAAGTGTTAGCCTGCATTTTAATTCTTGAAAAAAGCTGATGACTTGATCAATATACAGGAAAAAAATATTTATTTATTATACAAGGGAAAAAAGTTGTAGATTTTAGCTCCAGGTTGTGTTGTCTCCCGACGCGTAGCGGAGGGAGACAAAAAACCGTGAGCTAAAATCTAATATTTTTCCCGTGTATAATACACTATTTTTTTCTGTGACAGAATGAAGGACGAATCAATATTGAGAAGATATTAGATTATTTCGAAATGTGAAAATTATCGACGTGAAATTTCAAGTTTTTAACAGTAGGGACACCTGCGTTTTATAGACATCTTTATCATTCTTATGAAGTAATCAAATATCTGATGTCACTTCTGTCAGTTCAATTCTGTGATTTGATTTTAAAAAATTACGAATTCAGTAGTTGTTTAGTAATATACGAAACCGCGAAGTCGAATGGAAGATAAAAGGACTTGCAGTTCTTTCTCGGAGACGGTATTATTGACTCATTTTTCGGAACTATAGCACAACAAAAGCCATTAACAGAGTATATATATATGTGATATATATCCGGGAAAAAAGTACTCACTTTTTTCCCACGGGAAAAAAGTAATTTATGAAAAGTGACATTTTATAACCTGCCAACAGAAATGAAATGCCAAACTTTTTTCCCGTCACAGAAAAAAAGAATTTACTCTCTTACCTTTATATCGCACTTGAGAACAATATAGTGTGACAACTCAAAAAAGTTGATTTATTTTTTAGTTAGAACCACCGTCGAATAGCAAATTTCAAGCTCTACACTTCTAGAATATAGTGACATCTCTAGGTCCACTAGCTGCTGCGTGACATCGCTGGTCACGTTGTTGCACTAGAGGAGAAGTAGGTACTACAGCCAAGCAAGAAACTGACTTTTTGCGTTGTCACCTAAACTTCGCAGGATACGCCTCGTATTCTGACTTTGGGGAAATTTTTATGATGAATAATGTGACAAGTCATTAACACAATTTGAAATTTTTTGAGTTGTCACAGTTGTAATGTTAACAATATGGAATATTTCGATATGTCACATTATTGCAAGCGTTGCACTCAATGAAATGGAGTAGATAATACGCCTAGAAATAATAATCTAGGATCTCCGGCTCTTTAGTAGGGTAACTAGAAATATGTCACCATCGGTTGATTATGCACTTGAACCAAGAGTGAATGGGGACATTCAAGAAGAACTCACGCGATTGCGACTGAAACAAAAACAATACTTCGATGAAAATTGTAAATCTTTAGATGACTTGCACGTAGGAGATCGAGTAGTCATGCAAGAAGGGCCCAAGAAGTGGATAGGTGCAGAAATCATACGAGAAGCAGGAAGACCTAAATCTTTTATCATCGAGACCAACAAAGGACAGACTCTGGAAAGGAACCCAGAACATCTTAAGAAAATCACAGCTATAGTTGAATCTGATACACCTACTGTGAATCCTGATCACATCGTTAGGTGTTCGCAAGATCACTCATATGATTCCATTACTCGAAACACTCCACCAGATCAGAAAGCTTCAGCTCAGTCTTCCGGAAAAGGAGTCATTACAACCGAAGAAAATGAAAAACCTTCAGAAACTGAAGCCAGACCAAGAAGGGACGTTCGCAAACCAAGAAGATTCATTGAAGAATTTTGAAATGTATATTATTGATAGTTGCTCAATTTTGTATAATGGGGGATGTAACAGTATTAATTACCTTATACTTGAATAATGGATACCCTGTATTCATTGACATGATGTTAGTTGTCAGTTGACATTATTACCCCACCTTTTTCACATATCTCTGGTCAAAATTTCGGAAATTTCATAACATTTTCAAATGGGGCATAAAAAGTTATAGACACATTAGAGGGTTTCGAAGATTATGACTTCAACCCCCATCAAGGGGGTCATTTCTGGACCCATGTTAATTTTGAACACTTTCTACTGGAATCTGTGGTTAAAATCTTTCTATCTAATTTCGGGACACCCTGTATATTATCAGTAGAAATATATTAGCTCCTTTATCGAAAATGTGATGAAAAATTACAACGCCATTCACAAATTCCATTCGTTAAAAGTTCCGATACGTTATCAACACTCAAAAAGACATGATCGATTCCTATTATCCCGCTTCCTCCATTATACTCAACTTCTTTCGCCTCCGTTGGAGTTCAAGAAAAAGAAAAGCGAACGCTCAAATGGTATTACTTTTTTATTGTTCGAACTAATCATTTCCCGAGACTTTCCGTGACACTATATCTCCAATTTGATGGGGCCCAGGAAATGTCTTTGCGATTGGTGG